CAATATGCGAAGCTTCAAGTTCGCCCCAGCGATGGTAACGGCCGCATACGAATAAATGCCGCCCCGACTGTTAACCCTTCGACGGATGCTATTTGGAATCATAAGCCCATTAGCACCATGAGTGTGCTGCCGCTAGTTCCGCATTATCAGGGCGGCGCGAATACTATCTTTAGATATCCCCAGTCGAGGACGCCTCGGATGCCCGACGACGATAAGCCACCAGTAATACACAAGGATAAGATCAACCCTTCATCTTCTTCAGGAGTACCACTCCAATAGCTACGACCAAGATCCAAATGTTGTTGCCCACGAATTTCAACACTTCTCCGCCGGTTCTTAATACCAGGCTTAAAACGCTACCGAGCAAGCCAGGAATGCTTGCTGCCAATTTTTTTTACCTAAGTCCGTTAGCCCATTGCCTAACTTCTTTCCCATCGCCTTTGCTCCTTTACCTGCAGCATTAAGTGTGCTAAGGATTACTCCTACTACGCTTGAAATGGCGACAGCAAATGCCAGCGGAATGCCATACTTCATAAGGAATCTCTTTACCTTTTCCTTGGTGGTAAGACCTAATTCTTTTTCCAAACCTTCTTTGTGTGCTTGTAATTCTGCGACCCTTTCCTCGAGAGTTCCTATTTGCGCTTGGGCTGCTTCCCTTTCTCTTTCGGCGCGAGTATGGTCTTCGATTATTTCCCGCCGTCGATCCATTTCGTGCTCCAAGTCCTCAATCGCTTGCGTTGTCTGCCGAAGTTGCTCCTCCTTTGCGATGATTTCCGCGTTTAACCGCCGTTCTTGCATTACCGACGCCTCCAGCTTTGCAGTTACGCGTCTAAGTTCGGCGTCTCTATCCCCAATATCCCTGACTGCGCGATCGAAGTTTCGCCTAGCATCATTCCTTTCATGTACTAATATGTCGATACGGCGATTTAATTCCTTGCTTTCGCGTTTGTTGGAATCCGTCAACAGTCGATATTGCTTCATGTATTCCTCCTCCCTTTCATCCATTGTTTCCTTTAGTCCTTCGACTTCCCTTATTGCCTCGACGCCTTTTTGTTGCCGCCGCATTATAGCCTTAACTCTTTCGAAGGATTCGTTAATATCCTCACTATTTCCTCTTAGTCTTTCCGCCAAATTGGGTTCTCCTAATGCGTCTTTGATTTCTTTTGGGAGATTACTGGCGAGTCTGGTAGAGATTATACCACTTATCCCTTCCTTGGTACTGGATTTGAATTTGCCCCTTATCTCCGGTTTGGAAATTAAGGCGGGCCAAGTCCACATTTGGAAATTTCTCCCTTACGTCGTCTAAAAGTCCCC